TATCTGATCTTCCTCCTAGAGTCCTTTGGTGACCAAAGTAGTCTTCAAGCACGTCTTGCATAAAGCGTTCTGAAAGTACATAGGAAAATCCTATGGAAAGCAGAAACGTTATGGCTTCAGTGTGGGAGTTGACTGTAATTTTGAAGCCTTCATAGGTCTGGCGGGACAAAAACATCTTTTCTCTTTCACCTGTAGTATAGGATCCTTTTCTCTTGGCCACACTTTCTTTTCAGATACTTCAGAAATGTATTCCTCATCCACACCAGACGCTCGTCATCGGGGCTGTCATAAGGCTTGATGCGATCATTTCGCTTCAGTTGATGCTCTTTCAATGACCTGACATTCGAACAATCGAAGAAGTCATTTACCATCTGGCAGAACATTGCTGTGCCAGCAACACCTGGATCATCACTCTCAAGCAGGCAGGTTGAAACGGTTCTACTCGGCACTTGAACAGCAAGTTTCATCTTCATCTTTGAATAGCGGTCAACAAAATGTGGTCCAACGTCAGCTTTGGCAGTCGGTGTATAGCATATTCCTGATCATTGTGGAACATGTCAGCAATATGCCTAAACAGCAAATGCTGGCCATTGTTCCACATGTACCTATAAAGGTAAAAATATATTCTAGGACTTGAGCAACCATGGGGACAGGAAATTAACCATTAAAATGCAATGTACGACTCTCCTCTTGACACAAGTTAGCCACAAGTGCCATTAGAGTAGAAACATAAAGTAGGGCACAATTGAAAGTGCTTTGCAATTTAATGGGTTAAAATGAAGTTATACAATATGGTACTGTACAGTAAGAGATAAGGCCAGAGAACAAGGGCTGAATGCTAAACAGCTCTCGAAAGCTTTGTGTTCTCTATATAGTATACAGACCAACATTCAATTACAAGAGCTTTATAACTGTATTTCATGATTGAGGGGGTTTCCTAACAAGGTTTTTCCCTTTATTTCTTGACTACTGTAATAAGTATTCAAGGACAGCTACTGTATATGGCAATATATATATAGTACACATCCTGTGGTACATCATAAAATAAAGAGTTAAGAGCAGACCAGTTTCATGCAAATAATGAACAACAATTTCAAATATATTAAACTTTACATACGAACTATGTGCTCCATATCCTGAATTGTAGAGACAATTTCGAGTGGTTTTGATAAGATGAGGTACATCTGCAAAGAAGTATATCATCCGAGTCAGAACGAAAAGTTTGGGTGTCTTGTACACTGGACCACAGGATAGTGTGCCACCAAGCTTGGTATGGAGTGCAAAGAATTTCCGGTTAGGGGAAGCACCATCATTGACAGCAGCAATTATCCACAACTTTACTGTGGTTTCAAGCACTCCAACCACTTTCCAAAACAAAGGAAGTAGTTGAAATAATGTAACATTGCCAGTAAAGTAGTAGGCAAGCACATGCTTCAAATTGGTGCAAAGCCCCCTAACCAAAAATGCCAGTGCATGGGATGCAATTGGGGTATTGGAAAAGGTGGTTAAAGGATCTCCAATTGATCTATGAAGCCAATGAGCTCGCCAGATGTCTTGTCAAACACAAGGTTCTTTTGGATCTTCATTTCATCCATGATCACTGCCACATACTTATGAATCCCAGAAAACTTCGATGCTTTTTCTTTGAGCTCCTCAACGTTTTCTTTGGTAATGCCAGCTCCAGGTTTGAAATAATTTCTGTAGTCCCGAACAACTCGTTCACTGGGCAATATGAGGGCAGCACTGTCTCTCAGCTCTCTAGAGGCAGAAGCAGACTTGCAATGAATAGACAATGCAAATCTAATTACTTGAGGATGAAACCTCCAAGACTTGTTGTTCCCAAAAGAACTTCATGTGTGGTGTGCTTTCAAAGTTATGTCCACCCATGATTGTCAACACATCCTTTTCAAGAGTCTCACTAACTGTGATTGAATCCTTTTCGATTTGAACTTGGAGGCTTTTCACTTTCGCTTCGAGCAAAGAACACTTTACGCGACTTTCCACTGCTGTTGCTCTTAGCTTGTCCGCACTGCAACGGGTAAGGGGAGCTTTATCCTTAGCAGGGGCACTCGATTGGCGTGTACTGCGATTTTGCTGTGCTACAATTTTCCTTTGTAGCTGTTTGCATGGTTCACAGATAACGTCACCTTGGTCTTGTCTGCGAACTAAAACCTGACAAGTAACACAGGGAAAAACAGCTAAAACCCCAAAATTTGTATCCATTTCTACACTCTTTGGGATAGAATGCCGTACAACATCAGATGGGTGGAGTGGATGGGTTTGGTCATCAGGATCTTTTGCAATGTTGGTGAGGTATTCAGTGTGTTGGTGTAGTCCTTAGCATATGAAGAAGTCATCGTCTTGAAGAGATTGCAAAAGTTCAACAACTCCAGCAGAGGTAATTCGACGTCGATGAGCGGTGTAGATGCTGTGGTCGTCGGGCAGTAGCCAGTTAAAAATATGCAACGAAAATTACAAACATTGATCGACGTGTAAAACAAACTTCGGAAGCGAATAATTATTGTCCCAAAGTTCCATCCTTATTTCAAGGTCGCTGCACTTTTTGATAACCCATGGAAGAGATATACTTTCTTTCACCCGTGGAACAAAACTTTCGTTGACAACATTTACAGATTTTACAGATATCAACAAGCGGCAAAGCAGATGTCGAAGGAGTCTCGTCAGAAATCTCTCGTACTAGAGAGCGTCGGCTACTTGGCTTCGAGTCGTGGCTCTTCGACGGCAAATTTTCTGTCGGAACAGCACCCGTTTCCGAAGTTTTTCTTTTGGCATCTACAAACGAAATAAACATAAATTTGTTGCACGCCATTACCCATGACCAATGTTTATGTATGTATGTAGACAACTAGACAAGTGTCTAATTACCATATATTTGGGCAAAAACAAAGAAAATAAAGAGATACTTACGTTGAGAAATCAACTCGGGTTTGAAATGCAGCTCACATAAGAATATATTATTTTCATCTATTCTTTTTTTCAACTCTGACGTGTTTACTCGTGTCCTTAGAATTACTCTTAGCCATTCTTTCCGAGCATCAGACTTCAACTTTACGGTTTCTTCTCCGTCGCCTCTAGCAGAAAAATGTATTTTGAACAGGGACATATTACTCCTTTGTTAAGACTTTTCGAAAAGAAGCTAGTCGCCGCAATATAATACTCTATTGTGTTTTGTCGCCATGTGTACTCTGCCGATCACGTGACGGAAATAACTGGAAACCGAACATAATTAGTAAACTCCGCCCACTTTCCTAACCATCTCAGACTATTAATTGTGGGCTAATCAATACAATATAATAGTTTGTGTCACTCTTGAGCATGAAGTTCTATCATCAAACCACACCTTACGTCATCATATTTGACGCTGGATATCATATCACACGGATACATGGCCAGAAATCACAGACATGATGTATTCTACTTCCTTCGCAAATATCATAAGTAGGTCGTTTGCAACTTGCCTCAATCGCTGGCTGCGAAAAAACTCTGTCGAAGTATTTAGTGTAATTTTGGACTGATTTCATGAGTTACTGCGTTCTCTGCATTTTGAAATTTTTACAGAGGTTATAGTTTTACGTCATTTGTCTTTTTAACTCTTGGTATATATACGAGTTTAAGTCCTGTATATGGCCATTTTGTCGTAGGGTAAAATCCCCTCATATTTGCCTGGTATAAATTCATAATATGTCGCTTTAAGTTGCCCAAAGTCGCCGTAAGTCCCCCTATTAAGTCGCCTTGAATCGCAACTCAGTTTCCCTCAAATTTCCTTATGTCGCCTAAATTAAGTCGCCCTATACGTAGGCGACTTTAGGACCCGGAGTAGACCTACTCTACTGCCACTAGGAACAAAGAAGAATGCAGAATGGGCAGTAACTTTCACCAGGCAAACTTTACCCTGAATATTTCTACAAATTATGTTGTGCAACCTGCAACTGAGGCTAATTGCAAACGACCTACCGTATTCTCTAATTTTGCGATTTACAGATCGTGTAATATAATTTACTGTTTATTGCGGAAGCCATATTTCAACGGGTTATGCATCGATGACAAACAAGGGGGAATTTCGTTCTCGACCAATCAGCGCTTTTGTTTACATTTTTGCCCTAAGCCAATCAGAATGCGTAAAACGCTTCATCACATGAAATTTGCAAACAAACATATGGGGTTACTTCAGAGCTTTTCTGCAAGCGTTTTTTTGGGTTTTTGCCATGAAATTCATATATGTTGTTCCTAAAAGGATTCTCCTCCACTTCCTCGTGGCGATTTTTGATTAATTGCGTGATTGCGAAGATATGGGTCTTCAAACTTTGCCTGGCGCAAGCTTAAATACCACCCCTCGAATTTGTAGGTTCCGAACGGATTAACGTTTTTAAAAGCCTTTCAAATCGAGGTTTGAGAGGTTTTATTTTTTAAAAGATACTTTTATCTTCATATTTTCACATTAACTTATTAATATCCTGTGTAACAAGTAAACAGGACACTTCCGGGCCGGGACAAGTTGACATGTCGATTTCTTGCTAAACGATCAATATGGCGAATACCTAAATACAGGAAATTTTTAAAATTTGTTGGTATAAACGGGATAAAGAAACTCATCAAATATTTGGACTATGGACCTTCGAACTTATGTCAAGTATTTATTTGATTGATTAGCTCAGTAACTGTTTTTTGGCTCGTTTTTCGTCGATTTCGACATTTATTCGAGCTTAGTCGACTTCAGAATAATGTGTCAACATTGCGTGTTGCAGCCTGTGGACATGAATATTTTCGTTTGTTTGACCATAACACTTTTCTTCATTGTTTTTAATCCTTGAGTGACAATATATTCATTGGTCTCAGAGTCCTAAACTTAAGGAAGATGGATGACTTTGGGACAGATATCAAAATTTTGTTCAGATATCAAAATTTATGGACATATATAGTCACAGTGACTAAGTCACTCATAGCATAGTCATAGGACCCTCATTGTTTCTTCCTTAATCTGGCCCACTAGTCACAAATGGGGCCTGTTCTTATGACCTAGCTAGGCAGGAGACAACATTTGCCAGTATTGCCGATATACTATCCTGCTACTATCCTGGCTAAGCACAAGGTATCCGTTGCCAGAATCCCAACTATGCAAGCCAAGAAATTCACCATTTACAGTAAACATTCTATCCCACAACCAGGCAACATGAACTCGCCTTTAGGGTCCCATGCTGCCTAACCCAGATCATATCAACAGACCCTTAGCAGATCCTGAAACTACAATTGGAACATTTTAGGCCATAATCTTGTAGAATCAACCAGGTATATTGTCAGTAGTATAATATCACACTGGGCAAGCTGGTCTTGCCCATTTATATGGGCTAAATATACACCTGCCCATGGTAAGATACTGCCTCGTATATTAATTTTATATATGTTTGAGATTGCATTCACATGAAACAGCCTGGTTGAATTTATTGGCCCAGCATCTGCTTGAGCAAGTTGATATCCTGCATTGGGAGTCTCACACTTATAAAGGTCATAAGCTGGCCAACCAGCTCACTCGACTAAAAATCATGTTATAATACACAATTTGGCCCAAGTAAGTAAGAACTTGATTAATATAAGCCTTCTGAAGCTGTTGTCATTAACAAATTAACCAGCATTTCACACAAATTTCTTGACAACAGTTGCCAGGTTAGCCTGGCTCCTGTGAGGCAAATGACAAACTAGCCCTGAAAAGAAAAATCCAGCCATGTTTGCTGGGCTAGCATGGCCCATTTTGACAGCCCTTAACAGGGAGAGCTTATTTTTGGAAGGGAGATCTGATTTTTGGAAGGGAGGCCTATTTGTGAGGTTACTGGGGCTTAATATTGGATTGCATTATATAATATGTGTAAAATATTCATTTGTGCACAGGTATTCTGGTAATGCACAAATTTATGGACTAAAATGTTTCAATTATAGTAGATCGGGATCTATTGGGGACCTGTTTATATGATCTAGACTATCCAGAACACATGCTTTTGAAGCCTAATTCATGTTGCCTGTTGGTATACAGTGCTTATTGTATATGGTGAATTTCTTGGCTTACATATAACCAGGATTCTGGCAATGGAAACCTCACGCTTAGCTAGGCCGATAGTAGCAGGATAGGATAGAACATACTGACAAATGTCGTCTCCCATCTAGCCAGGTAATATGAACAGGGCCCAATTGTGACAAGTGACCCAGATGAAGTAAAAAAACAATGAAGTTCATATACAGGTACAGTATGTCCATAAATTTTGATACCTGAACAGCAACATTGAACAAAATCATTCTGTCCCAATGTCATCCATCTTCCTTAAGTTTAGGACTCTGAGACCAATGAATATATTGTCAATCAAGGATTAAAACCAATGAAGACAAGTGTTATTGTCAAACAAACGAAAATATTCATGTCCAGAGGCTGCAACACGCAATGTTGACACATTATCCTGAAGTCAACAAAATGTGGAAATCGACGAAAAACGACCCAAGAAACAGTTATTGAGCTAATCAATCAAATAAATACTTGGCATAAGTTCGAAGGTCCATAGTCCAAATATTTGATGAGTTTCTTTAGCCCATTTATACCAACAAAATTTTAAAAATTTCCTGTATTTAGATATTCGCCATATTGATCGCCACGATGTTTGGCAAGAAATCGACATGTCAATTGTCCCGGCCCGGAAGTGTCCTGTTTACTTGTTACACAGGATATTAATAAGTTAATGTCAAAATATGAAGATAAAAGTATCTTTTAAAAAATAAAACCTCTCAAACCTCGATTTGAAAGGCTTTATAAACGCTAATCCGTTCGGAACCTACAAATTCGAGGGGTGGTATTTAAGCTTGCGCAAGGCAAAGTTTGAAGACCCATATCTTCGCAATCACGCAATTAATCAAAAATCGCCACGAGGAAGTTGAGGAGAATTCTTTTAAGAACAACATATATGAATTTCATGGCAAAAAAACAAAAAATCGCTTGCAGAAAAGCTCTGAAGTAACCCCATATGTTTGTTTACAAATTTCATGTGATGAAGCGTTTTACGCATTCTGATTGGCTTAGGGCAAAAATGTAAACAAAAGCGCTGATTGGTCGAGAACGAAATTCCCCCTTGTTTCGATGACATGCAAATTACTAGGGAAATGCAATAACCATGCTCGTTATTTCTGGCCATGATTTGATTATACGAAAACCACGAATTCACGCAAACAAAATGGCCGACAAAACAGAGTCACGAGATTTTTTATTTATTCATTATTGGCACCTATTAAATTAAATTAACATGACTGAAATCTATGTTTCTTAATTTATCTAGGAATCTGTACTACACCACCTATGAATTAGCGTATAAAACTGTTGCAAAATATCGCACAATTTATGTGTGTAAATATGGTTACAAGGACGTTTATGGAAAATGTGAACGTATGTATATATATATGTCGCTCTAATATATGCCACATGAAAATTTCAAGATCGTGCATTGCCTAGAAACATTTTGGTTAATATTTTCAGGAACAAAGAATATTAATAACTTACTGACCTCAACCGTTCGCGCAGTACGGGAAAATATCCAACCGAAGTCTTGCTGTATCGACCGAGCGATAGTCAGGTCAATACAGCAAGACCAAGGTTGGATCGATTTTTCCGTACTTTCCGAACGGTTGAGGTCAGTAAGTTTTTTTATTATATGGTATTTTAAGTTTGTAAAAAATGGGGAAAAAGGTCACGCGAGACCAAAGTAAAAAGTCCGAAACATTTGCAAAAGAAACAATTGTTAAAAGTGTTCTCTTAGTTAGTAAAACTACTCTACAGCACTTTTTATATTTAATACTAACACAGTTTGGATAGTATTTCAAGAAAAAGACGAGGTATATGCCGTCATTTAATCAAAGACAACAAATATGAAAACAATAAAATTAATAAACAGTATGGACAAGTACGTTTTTAGTTCGCTTCAAGTCATCTCTTTCTATCTAACAAAAACAGAAATTTTCAGGGAAAAACTATAAATCTGTGGCTACTTTAGTAGTATTTTTTATTTAGGATGATGTCAAATTCCTCTTGGCTATCTACAAATAAAATTTGCAGCTCTTCACATAGTCAAAACA